AATGGAAGAAGCGGGTAAAAGATAATGGATGGGTGGATGTTCAAACTGTGCATAACATATGTAAAAAAAAAAAAACAATGCAGTGGGGAATTACTTAATATCTTAATTTACTACAAGCCTGTGTATCATTAATTTAACCCTCTTTTTGTTGCAGCTTGAGGACATTGACAATGACAACATGCAACCAGCAAAAAATCCCACCTACACATTCCAGGCTGGACCAAAGGATTACAGTAACAACCAAGAGTTTGATAGAGGGCATTTATTACCAAACTCTTATGGACTTAGAGTCATTGATAAAAAATCTACATTTACTCTGACCAACATTGTTCCACAAGTGCACAAATTCAACACTGGAAGCTGGAACTATATGGAAAATTGTGTTAGATGTTTTCTAGATAAATATTGTGTCAATAACAATAATCAGAAAGAAGGTTTCATAGTTATTGGAGCACAGCCCAGTGACAACATGTTCCTCAATAACAAGGTTAATATTCCCAAACTGCTCTGGTCAGCTTTTTGTTGTTACAGTAGTAGTGAGAACAAATGGCTTGCAAGTGCTCACTGGGGTGAAAATGTTGAGTCTCAGAACAAATATCTGCAGACTGTGTCCTTATTAGAGCTGCACAGTAAACTGGGTGAACAATTTGATGTTTTTCCTGAAACACAATGTCCCCTCAAAACAACAGTTACTGAGTTTTATCCAGAACTTGAAAACACCTGCAATTGCCCACCACCAAGAACTACTACTCCTGTTATAACCACACCACTTACTGTGACATCAGTCCCTTCTATTATTACTTCTACCTCTGGTCATTCAGCTACTACGTCTGCCCCACCCTCTACCCCAACTACATCACAAGTAACCACTACGACAACATTTTCAACAACTACTAAACCATTTTCAACAACTACAAAACCATTTTCAACAACTAATAAACCATTTTCAACAACTACTAAACCATTTTCAACAACTAATAAACCATTTTCAACAACTGCTAAAACGTTTTCCACAACTACAAAACCATTTTCAACAACAGCTAAACCATTTTCAACAACTTCTAAACCATTTTCCACAACTACAGAACCATTTTCAACAACTGCTAAACCATTTTCAACAACAGCTAAACCATTTTCAACAACAGCTAAACCATTTTCAACAACTGCTAAACCGTTTTCAACAACTGCTAAACCATTTTCAACAACAGCTAAACCATTTTCAACAACTGCTAAACCATTTTTAACAACTACTGAACCATTTTCAACAACTGCTAAACTAATTTCAACAACTACTAAACCATTTTCAACAACTGCTAAACCATTTTACACAACTGCTAAACCATTTTACACAACTGCTAAACCATTTTCAACAACTGCTAAACAATTTTCCACAACTCCTAAACCATTTTCAACAACTGCTAAACAGTTTTCAACAACTGCTAAACCATTTTCAACAACTGCTAAACAGTTTTCAACAACTGCTAAA